TTAAAATTCAATATTGTACAGTGTCTTTAAATCCAAAGAAATACTAACGGATGTTTGATAAAACTAATTTCCTGTACACACACTACCAGTGGTGAAAAACACAACGCTGCGCAATTCAGCGCATGCGGGTGATAATTTTCAACTTCCGTTCACCTTTCTTTCGTTCGGTTACACGGTGTTTACAGAGGCGATTACCTGAATCGAAAGTTGACTTGCCAAGCAATGTCGTTGAAAGCGATTAGTTGAAAGGCAGTTTACAAGAGCCGGTTGATGCTTTTAACTAAAAGTTGACTGTAAAATCGTCCCTAAAGAAAATACACCATTAGGGAACAAAATACTACACTAGCACAAATTCGTTAGACAGTGATTAGCCTGAGTCCAAATACTGCAAAATTGGTTTTGCCATATAAAGAAACTAGAGATAACTGTTATACACAAAAAATACAGTAGTACCAAAATACCGAAAACTTTGTATGAGACTCAGTGTAACTACTTCAGATCAAACTAACCTAAGGTTAAAATGTTCAAAAAATTGCTTTCAATTTGTACACACTCATACCCTTTTATCAACACAATCACACTTTTCCAAATTGGCTACCACCTTGAAAACAATTTTTATTTTAAGATGCTATGCAATTTTTCATCATAGCTTTTGGTGGTGAGTTTTTGTGTGCAGAAAATTGTGTTTATTTTTGACAACACATACATGTGATGAATTGAAATGAATTCTATGAACGTGTAAATGCAGCGTAAGCAGCCGCCATCTTGTTTGCTTACCAAAAGCTCAAGGCGAATTCATAATTCGCCTGTTCAGAAGCTTGTCCGCCACCACACCACACATTTGGTCACCATGGGGACTTAGGGCTGCAATCAAATCTTTTTCGGCAATTAGGGTGTTGTGCAACAATGTAATGTGGTGAAGATGGTAAAGACTGTAGGTTTCGCTTATGGTATTAATCAAATTTAACATAATTCTATATTATAAAAATACCAAAAATATTTATAAGTTAAGGCCAAAACACAATAGCGCAGTGGCAGTGGCAGTGACAGTTTTTAAAATCAGCTGTTACTGCTAATATTGGCAGTCAATGCCGCAGCAAACACAATACGGCGTTGTCAGTGACTGCTTTTTTTGACATTCCCTTTTGTTTGTTTACATTTTTGTTGTTGCCTTTTAGGCTTCAGTGACATCAACAGATGTTGGCTGCGTTTCATTTATGTCAAATTCAGCATGCGAAGTTTGCTGCGATGAAGGCAGTGGCAGTGAATTTAGAATTTGGGCTAAACTGAGCAGTACTGCTAGCTGCCACTGCTGTATTGTGAGTCGCTTCATTGGACACCACACTTTCTAAAAAACAGCTGATTTCGAAAAACTGCCGCTGCCACTGCCACTGCATTATTGTATTTTGGGCTTTAGTTAAATATAAACAAATTTAATTGTAAAAATATATTTTGACTTTCTTAAGATATACGGAATGAACATGTTTTAAAGACTTACATACCTGATTTTTGTTAAAAATAAAATAAATAATAAATATTTACGTAATCATCTGGAAAATAACACATACATGCATACTCGTTAACTACGACTTGGCAATGGCAAATCACCGAGTGTATTTCTGCTTTAAAAACTCATAAAAAACATTTGTTGTTCTGAGGCAGAGTAAAACTGTTATAACATCAACACGCGCACCACAAATTGAAGAAGAACATCGGCTAAACCCTTTACGATTCGAATGTTTTGCACAAACCGATGTGTCACGAAAGTCAGTAAAGATTTAAAAATTTAAATAATTCTTGAAATTTTCTTGCACAGCAATTTTTCGATAATTATAACAATAAACGCTGGTTTCTATATATTTTTATTAATCATTCTGTGGTGTAAATAAACGTATTTGCATTTCTCAAAAAATTATAAAAAAAACTAAGATAATTTCTAAAAACTTTATATCATTGTGAATGAAAAGCGACCATGCGTGTTGAGAATTGCCTAGTACTTGAAATTACACCTCTGTGAGTTATCGCTATTTCACCACAATTCTGTTCACTATATTCAGCAAACGAGCTTCCGTTCATCTTTCTTTCGTCTTTAACCGTCTTCGTGTGAAGTAGAAAAATGAGAGCTAAGGTAATTTTTCATAAAAGTGGTTAAAAGTGTCTTTAAAATATAAGTAAAGTAATTTACAAACAATTAAATTGCCAAAGTGTTTCCCAATATATATTGTTATATTGTATAAATTGCACGATTCCAATTAAAATTAATTTTCGTTCCACCAGCCGCCATTGCTGTGAATTTCTGTATACACACGTGCTTGAATCTTTGGCTATTGTGCAAAAAATGAGTATATGAATTTGTCTAACATGTATTTTTTCTTATAACTTTATTTATAGTGGCGTAAGAAGCGTATGCGGAGGTTGAAGCGTAAACGCAGGAAGATGCGTGCAAGGTCCAAGTAAACCCGTCTACGGCACTGAAGAATGTAAGTATTTGTCATTGCAAACGTGGAGCGCTAGCCCTCCAAATGAAGCAAAACTAATTTTTCATTTCTCTTATATTGCAGGTTTTTGTACAAGCTTCAACCTGATATTCCATTAGAGAGCTTCGAGTAAAGATTTGGCTGACAAGTATTTGGAGGCGTTTCGGAAAATTTACATATTTAATGTAAATTAATCGGAATAAAGAGAAATCTTTGAATATTTACTAGAAGTGATAAAAACTTAAAATATGATATCTTACTTATTATTGGAAATGGTTGGTGGACTTTTTTGTTTGTTCATAAGGCATGTGACGTTTTGTGGTACCTATACGAATGTTGGGAATAGGTGAAACTCTTGTACAAATAGCATACCACGTTTTGAGCACCTTAACCTCAAACGAGAAATCAGGCAGCTGTTGCTAGCGCAATTAACTTTGCTTGAGCGACTATATAAAAGGTATATAGGAAGAACCTTTTATGCAATTTTCGCTTATGTCGTTTTACAATGTGGGTGAAAAGACAGTCGTATTTAAAATCGCACTGCAGATTTGGGAATGGTACTTAAATATAGTTTTCATATCTGCATATGTACATATTTCAGAGAGCACTTAAATACAATTTTAGGTTCTAATGTTAGCATTTAAAACAGTAGACAGAAACTTTTTTACAGCCATTGGCAACACAAACGAGGAATTTCTATCAACTGGAAGATTTATCGAGTATGTGGTAATTAAAGAATGATGCTTGGATTTTTTAAAAAGCTTTAATATATGCAGTCTAATTTACACAAGGGCATAGTAATGAACTGTATACATATATGTCGTTACCTTAATGTAAAAAAGCCGGAACTAAAAAAATTGTGTAATGCATAAAAGGATGTGGACTTTGGATTTTTAGTTGGTTATGGCTTTGTGTACTTCAGCGACTACGTGAGATAGGGCCCTTCTGTTTTAACTTATAACTACTTTTCTAAAGCCAAGTGTTTTCAATAAAAAGGCTTCACTTTGCTCTTAGTATTACAAGTTTGCCAAGAAGTTTAACAGAATAGAAAAACCAGATACCATTCATCTTACTGATTGAACTCGTAAACGATATTTGATCTTGAATAGTATATTCCGAAAGCATTTATTTAAATATGGGCCTCTCCCGTATGTTTTGGCAATGAAAATTCATTTTGTGAAGGTTCCTTCAGGCATTTCCGCTGACATTTGGTTTTTACGTAAAGCTTTTCAAAACGGAAATCCACTTTCAAGATTGCAATTAGCCGATGTAGGACGACCGTTCTAAGAAAAAAGTTTTATGATATGCTACGACACATGTAATTATGATTAATCAAGGATCGCATATTGAAAACAAATTTGAATTTACGCTCTCGTTATCTCAGTCACTAAAACACCGATTTTGTTTTAATTTATTGCATCTGGTAAAGCTTTTGCCGGTAAACATCTGTGTTCGAATTTCGAACTCTGCTTCCATTGTTTACATTCGTTTCGCCGCGTCGTTTGCTGTCGTATGGAAAAATCGCCCGTAGCGTGGACATCACAGATTTGTTTAAATCTTGCGATAATTGTGTAACCGAAAGACTTTGTTAATTATGCAATTTTAAGAAAAGTGTCTGATTTCAATAAACAAATATTTGGTGAGTGAAAACGTAAAAAAGTCAAAGCGCAAAGCTGTCGAATTATGCTGCTTGTGGACATTTTCGATGTTTCTACTTTTTCTGATTGGAATAGATTACGAGTATTGGAGTGCGAGCTCCTATATTTGTTGGTGCGCCAAAGTTGCTGCTTGTTCACTTAAAAGCGTGTACACATTTTCTGATTGCAAATTGTGCATGGATGTGCTAATTTTAAACAAAAAACCTTGTCCAATATATGCACATACATACATATACATACCGGTTTCAACAAACTTGTGCCTTTTATATTGGATACATTTAAAGCCATTCCAATTAGTGCTCAAATAAAAATTTGGGTGACAATGAAAAATGCGAAAAGTAGCTCCAATCAGCAAGTGTGCTATAAATTCTTGTTAGAATAATACAGGAAATACCAGAATGATATTAGAACAAAGTTGATAAAAATGGTTTCTATCAGTTTCTATAAAATTCAGTGACTAAAATGTTTAGAACAGCGTGATTTCGGAGTTCTTTGCTGCTAATATACATATATATGAAAGTAGGTACACGCCAAGTACACGCATTCGAAATTATTAAATTTTGGATCATTAATCCACACACATACCGTTCCACTCCGCTGACCATATCGAAAGCGCAAAAGAAACTTGTTTACCCACCGCACAGCACGGTTGTTGTTGCTTGTTTATAGTCGCTAGCTTTGTTTGCCAACACAAGTTGATTACATTTTCGGTGTACCTGTGCAAGGTAATGCGGCACCATACAGATTAGATACATTTCCAATTATCTTTACCTGATTACAAAGTTCCAAAGTCGGAATGGCTCTTGCTCATTATAAAAATAATAACGAGAATTTACGCTCCAAGTGACTTTTGGGCAATACATACATATGTACATACATGTATATTAAAGTCCAGCGCAAGTGTATTTGCCGCATTTCGTTCAATAAGTACTCCTTTGCATTGTAATCTACTCCCAACACATTGTTACTCTTTTTCCGCATACATACCCTACTTGGCGTTGAGAGAGTAAGTACTTCACGTATTTGCTATTACTCCACCAAAGTAGGTACTCTACTTTCTCTCATCGCGTACGAGAGATATTTGCTGCTTCCAAAATGGAGTAGCAAATCTACTCTCTGTATACTTGTAGTACTGGAAGTACTTGCGTATTAAATTTCAATTCTGGTTGTTAGCCTACTAGTTGATATCGTTTGCGGCGCTGGTCAGTGAAATTGAAAGAGTAAAAATAGTATATGGAAATTGACGATGTAAGGAAATGTTTACGGCCTTATTTATAAAAAAATAACGTAGATTTAGACAGTTGCCTAATGCGATACACCGAAAATGTAATCAACTTGTGTTGGCAAACAAAGCTAGCGACTATAAACAAGCAACAACAACCGTGCTGTGCGGTGGGTAAACAAGTTTCTTTTGCGCTTTCGATATGGTCAGCGGAGTGGAACGGTATGTGTGTGGATTAATGATCCAAAATTTAATAATTTCGAATGCGTGTACTTGGCGTGTACCTACTTTCATATATATGTATATTAGCAGCAAAGAACTCCGAAATCACACTGTTCTAAACATTTTAGTCACTGAATTTTATAGAAACTGATAGAAACCACATTTATCAACTTTGTTCTAATATCATTCTTGTATTTCCTGTATTATTCTAACAAGAATTTATATAGCACACTTGCTGATTGGAGCTACTTTTAGCATTTTTCATTGTCACCCAAATTCTTATTTGAGCACTAATTGGAATGGCTTTAAATGTATCCAATATAAAAGGCACAAGTTTGTTGAAACCGGTATGTATATGTATGTATGAGCATATATTGGACAAGGTTTTTTGTTTAAAATTAGCACATTCATGCACAATTTGCAATCAGAAAATGTGTACACGCTTTTAAGTGAACAAGCAGCACATTTGGCGCACCAACAAATATAGTAGCTCGCACTCCAATACTCGTAATCTTATTCCAATCAGAAAAAGTACAAGCATCGAAAATGGCCATAAGCAGCATAATTCGACAGCTTTGCGCTTTGACTTTTTCATATTTTCACTCACCAAATATTTGTTTATAGAAATCACACACTTTTCTTAAAATTGCATAATTAACAAAGTCTTTTGGTTACACAATTATCGCAAGATTTATACAAATCTGTGATGTCCACGCTACGGGCGATTTTTCCATACGACAGCAAACGACGCGGCGAAACGAATGTAAACAATGGAAGCAGAGTTCGAAATTCGAACACAGATGTTTACCGGCAAAAGCTTTACCAGATGCAATAAATTAAAACAAAATCGGTGTTTTAGTGACTGAGATAACGAGAGCGTAAATTCAAATTTGTTTTCAATATGCGATCCTTGATTAATCATAATTACATCTGTCGTAGCATATCATAAAACTTTTTTCTTAGAACGGTCGTCCTACATTGGCTAATTGCAATCTTGAAAGTGGATTTCCGTTTTGAAAAGCTTTACGTAAAAACCAAATGTCAGCGGAAATGCCTGAAGGAACCTACACAAAATGAATTTTCATTGCCAAAACATGCGGGAGAGGCCCATATTTAAATAAATGCTTTCGGAATAGACTATTCAAGATTAAATATCGTTTACGAGTTCAATCAGTAAGATGAATTGTATCTGGTTTTTCTATTTTGTTAAACTTCTTGCCAAACTTGTAATACTAAAAAAAAAATACTAAAAAAAAAACATTTGTGCCTTGTGCAAAATACTTAACTTTAGAAAAGTAGTTGTAAGTTAATACAGAAAGGCCCTATCTCACGTAGCCGCTGAAGTACAAAAAGCCGTAACCAACTAAAAATCCAAAATTCACTTTCTGGATGATTACGATGCATTTCATGGAATTATAAGCCCCACATCCTTTATGCAATACACATTTTTTTTAGTAACGGCTTCTTTACATTAAGGTAACGACATATATGCATACAGTTCATTACTATGCCCTTGTGTAAATTGAACTTTGCATATATTAAAGCTTTTTAAAAAATCCAAGCATCATTCTTTAATTAC